TTCTAAGCTTTCATGTCCCCCTTTCATATGGAAACTTTTATTTTCTGAATTTATGGAATGCCAGTAAGCAAAACAATGGTTTAAAATGTGATCCATTTTGTATCGTACTTGTACGTGGTCCCATGAGAATGGGGTTAATTAAGACACACAGTCTGACATCACAGGTCCAGGGTTCTGACTGTTAGAAAATATGGAAAACACATTTTTCAATTCAACACCTAAGTGAGCATGAAAGCTTAAGCAAAGGTGTCAGTTTTTCAACATCACAGGGGTGCCATATCCACAATTTTCATTCTTATAGGTTTGAAATTGTGTAATTTGAGGAATTGCTTGAAAATTTACTTCCAAGTGATGCCTTATTTTGAGAAAAGCTATGATAGCGATTCAAAGACACCAAATCTAACATGAAAACCATTGAGTGAATTTTTAAATTATCTTCTCACACTTTCATTGTCTTATTTCCGAATTCTTAGCATAAAGATTTTAGTTTAGACTCACTGTGAATTAAATTTTTTAAAAAATCAACTTTGCCTAAACGTAACTAGCCATTAACAGGTACACACATTAGACAGTGAGAAGGGCAGATCACGGGAGGGATTAGGTGGAGAAGAATTGTTTGGATGAAGAGGGTGAGGAGGCACAGTGATGGTTAGACTGTAGAAAAATTGCATTACCCCTTACAATTTATGTTGTCAATCCCCTGAACAGGTAAGAATGGAGAGTTTTCTCCTCTAATAAATCCGTAATTATTTACTGTGATGTTTTGGACTCAGACCTTAAATAATGTCTAATAAATTAACCAATGGTGATTCATGTTATTTCAAATATTTCCATCCGCATTTCATAGCCTGCATATCATACCATAGCCTCTCTGTCTGAAAAACTTGAGTTTGCTTACTGATCTCTGAATTCTCTCCATTAAGCACATTATGTCCATTCTGACTCTTAACATTGGTGCCAAATGGAAAAGCTTTCATCGGATTATTTGCAAGTGTTTCCCATGATGTTTGATTTGCTCCTACTTAACAAGAGTTCAGTTTCTCCTCGTATGGCTTTGGAATACAGAGTAAGAGAAAAATCGTCAAAGAAAAGGGCAACACGTGACTTGAATGATTTTTAAACAATGATAGCATTATGATATTCCCTGAACATCGTAGGGTTCCTGTTCCCAGATCTTATGCTCATTAATCAGATTCCCAAGTTAAATATAAAACAATAGTCACATTAAAAGGAAATTCCTCCCTAACTACAGATTTGGATGAAGCAGGATATAAAACTCTAAAGTTCAATTTCTACTTTGCTCTAATTAAATGCTCATCTCTGTGCCACTGGTTTCAGAATCCACAAATGGTTGCTTGGTACTTGGTAAATGAGCTCATTTCACATACGGATGAAAACAGCATAGTTAATAGATGAGTTACAAACATGTTCTATTTAGGTAGCTGCTCTACTGACAAAGAGTCAAACGCTGTGTAGTGCAGAAGACCCAGCCCAAAGTGACAGTGTTAATGTTAATATCTCCATGTTCCTCACGCCAGACACTCTCTCTTCAGCTCAATGGTTTGTTTATCCTTTGCTCAGATTAAGGCAAATGGATATTTTCAGTAACCAAAAACCAAATTCAGTGCCATTGAGTCGGATCTGACTCATAGTGACCCCTCCTTGGGTTTCCGAGGCAGTATCACTACAGAAGTAGATTGCCCCATCTTCCTTCTGAGGAGTGGCTGGTGGGTTTGAACCGCCAGCCTTCTGATGAGCAGTTAAATGCCTTAGGCACTATGGTACCAAGACCAAAAGAGTCTCAGTACTTGGCTAGTGCTAAATGGCTCCTGATAGTCATGGCAGGTTCCCACATGACAGCTTCTATAGATATCATAAAATATACTATTCTGGCTAAAAAGGCGTTTTGCTAAGCTTTGGGTTTTTATGACATGTTTCAAAGAAAAAAACTCTGACACAGTTGGGGAGGTGAGCCTTCGTAATATTTCTCAGTGAAACTGATTGCACTGAGCTAAATCATTTAGAATGGAAGAAAGTATGTGTTTAAGAGGATCTGGTATCAGGATGGGAGCTTGGAAAATGGAGGGTGAGAGGGTATGACAAGACTCAAAAGAAATGGGTAAGAAGTAAGGAATGACAAACCTAAAGGTAAATCAGGGATCCCTCCAAAACAACTCAGATGTAAACTATCATAAAATATTGTAAACGCCTAAGAAGAGCAGCTCTTCCACATGTGTCTCATCAGTAAGAAAAGAGAAATACTCCTGGATTCGGGGGTCAGCACGGCACTGGCTAGCTAAGGCATGTTTGTGATACTCATGTTGAGGTGGTCAGAGAAGACTTTTTTGTTGTCGTTATGTGCCGTCGAGTCGGCCCCGACTCATAGCGACCCCTCCTTGGGTTTCCGAGGCAGTATCACTACGGAAGTAGGATTGCCCAACCTTCCTTATGAGGAGTGGCTGGTGGGTTTGAACCGCCAGCCTTCTGGTTAGCAGTCAAGTGCTTTTAGCCACTATGTTACCAGAGCTCCTCAGAGAAGACTGGGCACCCTAAATTAAGTAGGCTCTTATGACCTTTCTACAATAATCAGAACTCACGATCCTTCAAAGAAAATACTAGGTAACAGATTTCAGTGCAAACATTGGGCTTCATGGTCAATTCTGAACTCATCTCATGAGACTCAGAGATACTCAATTCTCCAATGGCTCTGAAATCTGGATGTGCAGACTAATGGCAAGTGTCCCAGGAATACTGATGGGAATGTCAAAGCTAGGCAACACTTCAGCTTTACACAACTTTTTCACAATGGATGCATACTGGATACATCTGGTATCCCTCACTAATGCCAAGTATTAAAGCATGTTCAAATTTGCCTATCAGGTAGTCCAAGTACTATACAAATAATAAAACGATTCAGTGACAAAACACTCAAATGTCTACCGGAAACTTAGCATGAAAATACTTTATGTAACATCAGGGGGTTTATAGTATTAAACAACAAAAAAAGATCTTATCATGGCAAAGGCAGTTTTTGAGGCACTCAGCAATCCTATATGCCAAAAGAGAATTCTATTATTCTATCTAGCAATTTTTCCCAATGTGAAAGGGGCTTACTGAAATGCTAAGGCCAGCTATTACAAAAAAGTTGAAATTTCAACTAATTTCCAACAAATTCACAGGAAAATGAATCATGCAGATGTGTTTTTATCTTTAGAAGTTTTTATCTATCTTCAGCTATCCCACCCTGGTTTATGCTTAACTATGTACAAAATTACATGGAAATACATATAATTTATGATAAATGCTCAGCAGAATGAAAATGGCAACTTTGAATAGAACAACAGAATCGCCTTCTCCATTTTTGGTTACAGATGAAATGTGTAACTTTCTCTTTTTCTCTATCAACTTTAAGTGATTTATGAAAGCAAAACTTCACAATGGTGAAGTTCCTTTATTTATAATCACAAAAACCTTTAATAAAAATAGCTATTCTGACATAATAGGGAGGTCAACAACTTGATGTTGACTCTGTATTTTGGCTTATCCAAGGAAGAACTATTGCACTGTGGATAGTCTTCTGAGATGCACCACTCAAAGAGACAAATTGTAAGAAGTCAATTGTCTCATAAGACAAAATGCTCAATATCTTCGTGCTGGAACTTAACCTTAAGCAACATGAGTTAATAGAGGGAAAGACTCGCTTGTAAAGAAACAAGTACGGACAGGAGCAAGCTCAAATTCCTATTTGTATTTTAATTATATAAAGAAATAACATATATGTACACATATATACATACATATGCACATATGTATGCATATCTACATGTATGCATATATCCTATCCATATGCATATATATACATATATATGTGCAGCAAAATTAAAACAAGGTTGACTTGAACAGTTACTCTATACACATTTATGGAGATTATTTTACTTCTGAAAAAACAAAATGGCTCAATGTAGGCTAGTTACAATGCAGCTTTTTAAAGAGAAGAGGAGGGAGTAGACTAGAAAATCAACCATTGGCTAATTTAATGAACCAACCATTGACTGTAATTGTACCATAGCCCCTCACTGAGGTCGGCTGACATCAGGTTACTAGGTCCTGGCTGAAGGGGGTATTCATTCCCACCAATCTTTAGGTGTAGCCTGGAGGTTTTAAAATGACAAAAGGTACCTCAATTATTCAGGGAATTCCAAGGGATATCTCTCAGGAAGCAAGGGAAATTACCTTAAGTTATATTCTTTGCATGAGATAAACTTAAGTAGTTTATGGTTAACAAATGCTTTCTTCACAAAGACTTAATCACTGTCACACTGGGGCCTCATGGTTGTTGTTATGTGCTGAGTTGGACTGACTCATAGCGACCCCTCCTTGGGTTTCCCAGGCAGTATCACTATGGAAATAGATTGCCCAACCTTCCTTCGGAGGAGTGGCTGGTGGGTTTGAACCACCAGCCTTCTGGTTAGCAGTCAAGTGCCTTAGGCACTACACTACCAATCTCAGTTTCTATAAATATATGAGGACGGTGCAGGAATGGGCAGCGTTTCACTCTTGTACACAGGATCATTATGAGTCAGAACAGACTCTACAGGACCTAATAACAACAAAAACATATATATATATATATATATATATATACACACACACACACACACACACACACACATATGCATGTATATATGGGATGGTTTGCACAGGGGAAATGCTTTGCACAAAATGCCATTCAATTGTAGGAGCCAAGTTTCTGTGTGACAGCTTCTCTTTGCTGGACAGCATGTCTGCCATCGAGATCCCTGTCCTCATTTAGCTTCCTGGGGCTTTATTTGCTTGATTGAAACTATCTTTAAGTCCCTCTGCTATTTACAACTAATTTCTAAAACGACCTGCCAGTGCTTGAATAAAATAATGGTTTACTGATCACATAAAACTTAGTAGCAATGGTGCTTTCAGACAGATATACTGAACAATGACACAGCATTTCTTATTCTCCATACCTGTGTACTCAGGTGGGCAAAGGCATGTGTAGTTATTAATTCCATCGACACATGTAGAATTATTTTCACAGTCGTTATCTTCACAGTCATCAATATTATCTTCACAATTTTCTCCTTCAAATCCATCAGCACAAATACACCTGCAAGTCAGGGAAAGGAAAGGCAAACACGTATTTTTGCTGCATTTTTAACACAGGGAGTTTAAATATCGACAACATCTACAACAAAAAAGCGTAAGTAGGTTGATAAAATACAGAGCTTTTAACTACAAGAAATTGATTTTTAAAATGCATTTAAATGACATCTTGTAAGCATTTGTGGTAATGTCCCCAAAACCAGAAACCATTTGGGGAAAAAACAAAGTATTGGCTGCAAGATAGCCAGTGGCTTCATGATCCTACAATTCTGTAAGTTCAATATATTTTCAGGTCCAGACACAAGTAAAATTTACTCTACAGCATCAAATACCTTAATCTCTAGTTGTGCTCTCATAAAATAATTCATGATTCTTTGCTTATAAATGATGAGAAACTGTTTTGATTAAAAAATTAAAATATCTACTATCTATGCCTTATGTCTGATGTCTGGAAACAAAAAAAAAAAGAAATCTAAAAATGAAATTTTGTCTTCTTTACAATTACAAAATGTGAACGTTATCCTAAGACTCAATAAACACAATTTCCCCCAGGCATAAAACACTGAACATTTACTCGTGAATAAGAATAATCTTTAGAATAATCTTTGGTTAAAGTCTAATTTAAAGATAATTTCATAATGGAATGCAGAAATGAAATATATTTATTCTAAAAAGTGACATTCTAATGAGCTTGAGTAGTAGATTAGCATTCTTATGTGAAATTATTAGTGTCATTTAATAAAGAACACTATTTCATAATTCATGATGTACATCTGGAGTAATTGTACTGTGTGATTAAATAACTCCAGATTAAAAATGCTCACAGCATGTTTGTCTACTCATATTGTAGCTTGGAACAGAATCATTAATTTCCTATTTCAGTAGGACCTACATCTTACCATTTGCATGCTGCCTGTTAAAGCAATACACAGAACAACAGATGAATATATGACTTGCAATAGAGACAAGTTGGCTATTAATTAACATAATGGAGTCAATGCTTTCCCTTGCCCTAATCTGACTTGATTAATTGAAATGTGTGCATGTGTTTTAATCACTTTTTTTTTTTTTTGCAGCATCTTGAGCTGAGACCACTATAGTGTGTCTAGTTTTTTTCCCCCCTAATTTTAATTTTTAATACTGCAGTATCTCCAAGATGGACTGATATCTATTGTCCTTATTAACCTTACATGGTTCTTTTAAAAATAATGTCCTTTGATTTGAGAAAGAAAATGATAGTTTGCTTAGTTATTCTTAGTCTAATACTTCAGACACAGAAGATTAAGATTAATGACAGAAATTTACCAGAAGCCATCTTTTTCTCCTTCTTTTAAATGGCAAGTTCCTCCATGTTTACATGGGCTGTTGATACACGCATGGATTGGGACATCACAATCCTGCCCCTGCAAAGGAATGGTTGAGTAAAATTGAGTGTAAATTCTCGGCACATGGCAGAAGCACAGTAGAATTAGAAAAGTACACCGAGAAGAACTATGTCTGAAAAGTCTGAAAAGACTGTGGCTCCTGAAATAGCTCCTACTTACCTTGAAACCATATGGACAGGTGCATCGATAGAAGTCAACTGGGTCATTGTTGCAGGTGCCATCATTTTTACAGGGATTTGATAAACAAGGATTACATTTAGCAAGAATATTAACATCCACAGGACCTAAAAACAGGTTGACAATATTAGAAACCAATGCTTTCTTAAAATTATTTTGATGCTTTAATGTTCACAGGCAGCTTTGTACAAAATTATCAGTCACATGTATTTCTAATCCATGACAAAACAAGATGCCAGCATCATCATAATACACTCAAGAATTCAGTGGGAGGCCTGCGAGGCTCTCTAACATCAGAGAGTAACTCATGGTTGCTACCGTAGTTGGTTAGTATCTGATGCTAATGGTGTTGATGTCACAGGGGCAGTCCCCCATAAAGCCAGAGAGCTTATGTGTCTCTGTTTCATGATCAGAGCCTGCACCTTAGCCTCAGCCAACTGACATGGAAATGCAGGTGCACACAAAGGCATGTGTGTATGTGTGTGAATGTGTGTACGTGTCAGGGGTTAGTAACATGTAGAAATTCATCACTGTAATTTAAAAAGTAGAAAGTACATGCCCTGATGACATTCGTCTAGTAATGTTACTTTCATTTTTTATGCTTTTGGAAATAAACCAAAAATGTAATCTCCATTATATTGTTCCCCTTATCCTTTGGACTACCTGTATTTTTTAGTCCATTAATGTACTGAAGTGATTGCTGATGTCTCTGAGTAGAAAACACCATAGAAAAGATCTCTACTTGGAGTCTCATGTTTTGAGACATTTAAAAAATCTCATGACCCACAAACAGAGCAGATTAAAAGCAAAGTAAGCTGTGGTCATTTGCTTTCAGTTGCATAAATGTATTCCATAAATGGAAGGTGGAAACTGTACTACACTCAATAAAACCACATTCACTGTTGCCACTTTTTGTTCATGAAGGGTTATTAGACTTCCTTTTGGAAACTGTGTCTGATTAAGGCAATGAGAGTGACAACTTTATACATAAAACACAAATACCTCATAATACTGACATTGATTATGCTTCAGCTGCTACCAATCTCTCTGTACCTCTTTATTCTTATTGGGACAAGAAGAGGTGACTCCTGTTGCATGTTTCATCACACATAACTTCCAGCAAAGTTATCCAACACAATTTTATAGCATGGACTTTGCCTCTCCACCACTGCTCTAACCCTTAAGATACCTTCAACCAAATAGTTGTAGGACTTTTTCTGTTCGCATATGCAATGTTTGATCTATTTTTTCCTATAGATTAGAACCTATGTCTATAAATTGTCAGTCTACTGATAAAAACTCACATGTTTAGGACACTGGAGAAATGAATACTGGCAGTTAAAACAATCTGACTCATTGCCATTCAGCCGATTCCAACACACAGAAACTGTGGGACAGAGTAGTAGAACTGCCCCATAGGGATTCCAAGGCTGTAACGTCTGTGGGAGCAGACTGCCATATCTTTGTTCCTTACAGTAGATGGGGGATTTGAACCACTGACCTTTCAGTTTGGAGCTGAGCACTCAACCACTGTGCCACAAGGTCTTCTTAAAACATTGATTAGTCAAATTAATGTAATACCCCACCTTAAATGGCTTTGTGTTTGCTATCCCACTTACAGGCAGTACTACAAGAGGAAGTATCTAATTATAAGAGACTCCCTTAGGTAGGCTGGAAGAAAGAAGATTCTAACTCAGAGAAAGGCACAGGATGAAGCAGCTCTGAATGTCCACCAGGAAAAACAGCGCATTGGCAAATATAAGGGCTGTGAACAGGAACCTGGCCACTTCCCAGGACCTTGAGAAAAATGGCTTGTGGCCTATTTTTGTACTTTCAAACTTGTAAGACTGCAGTTTGAATAATAAGAATTCAGGGTTGGCAGTCCCTAAGTTTATTCTGTGGAAGGTGACATCTTTCAAAAATTATACTTGATTACTCAGATGAGAACCTAAGATTGTTTTAGGAAAACCACTGGCTACCTTTTGAAGAATTTAATAAAGCACAAAGGTAGTGAAACTGCCAGGCTGAAGCAGACCCTGACCCCTTCACCACACAGCCAACAATTATTCGATAAACATCCAGTTACCTATATCTGATTAGTAAACATCATCTAATTGCTCCACATTTTCCAGTAGGGCTCCACATTTGGTTTCCCTGGGTGGCTCAAATGGTTATGGACACAACTACTAGCTGGGAGGCTGGCAGTCTGAATCCACTCAGAGGTGTATCAGAACACAGGCTCTGCCAGGAATGGACTACTCAGTAAGCAAGGTAAGCATGAGTTTACTTGGGCTTTCTTACAAATCTGTAGAGAACAATTCCATGTTTTTTCACCACATCAAAGATCCTGCCTCTAGTTAGCACTGGCATCTCTCTCCCAGTCCCACAGAAACTTCCTATGGAATCAAAGCCTCTTTTCTAATTTAATAATTGAGACAGGGATGGAGTAACCAGTAAGTAAGGTAAGTTTCATGTTTTTCAGCAGATGTGGTGAAATCCCCTACAGATTAGTTAAGTAAGCACAACCAAGCCTCTGCTTACCTTACTGGGAACTCCACCCAAGCTTAGCAATCTGTTTTTGAAAGGTCACAGCCTCACAGACCTTGTGGAACAGTTCTGTTCTGCACACGTGAAGTTACCATGAATTGAAATGGACTCAAAGGCAACTACCAACAACACATAAGTAACTAAGCTGAATTATCTTCAGTACCAGGAACTTATAGGCATATCAAGGAGGCTGTTGGCTCTTTTTGGTGATTTGGTTTAGTTAAAGTAATCAAAATAACACACTTTCCCATGTGAACAGGTTTTTCTGAAAGTTCCTTAAATCCACTGAGCTGTTTTGATGGAATCAATGTTGGACTGAAGCAAAATTTTGAGTTCTAACACATCAAGGTGGGAAAGTTGACTACTACAGCTACTATTCTTTTTCCTTCTTTTTCTTCAAGACTCTTTTTAAATCAGTTCTTCACAGATAATTCTTATTTCCACTGCTTGAGTTTGTGTGGATAGAAAATTCAAAAGGTGATTATAAGTTGTACAAATTCCAAATATCAGCAACCTCCTTTCATATCTCTAATTTATTACAATGATATAAATCCTTTTTATATATTATCTAGATTATAATTCCACTTAACTGAAAACCTTCCTTGTAATGTGATTTCTACATTTCTCTGGTTTACCTAAATCTTCTTTTTTCTATGTTCTAATACCTCTGATGGGGCAATCTACTTCCGTAGTGCTACTGCCTTGGAAACCCAAGGAGGGGTCGCTATGAGTCGGGTCTGACTCGACAGCACACAACAACAACAACAACAAATACCTCTGAACTGTGTCGCTTGGATCTGCCTCTCTCTTCCCATTCATATTCCTGTTCAGAATTTGACTCTCTTTTAGGCCTTTCCTCTACCTGTGTCCAATTAGTGATTCATTTTCCAACTGGTATACTTTCTTTGAGATAACTTCTTGCAATGTTATTCAGGGAGAACAACATTTTTAACTTCTTTATATAATAAGTAGATATGAGCACTAAAATAAGATGCTAAATAAAGTAAGTCATAGTGAAACTGTAGCAGTTATCACAGCTCTCTAAAAGCAAACCAATACTTGTAGAATTCTGCACATTTGATTATTCCCAGGTGAAAAGGAGATGTTCAAGGTAGGTATTATAGAAGTCGGTTAGTAAAATGCACAGTAATTCCAGACACAGAATCTGGAACCTGTCAAGCCAAGTCAACAGCCCAGATTTATAACTTAAGTGTGTGGCATTGGGATAATAGTGGCAGCTACCACCCTGAGAAGTCAAAGAGATGAGGTCAGGAATGTCAAGCTCTGCACAGTGAAGTCAAGCACACAGTCACAACAAATACTGACATTCTTTCCTGTATTTCCAAATTCATTTTTGTTGTTAGTTGCTATCCGGTCAACTCTGACTCATTGTGACACCATGTATACAGAGTCATGAAACTATGGTCCATAGGGTTTTCAAGGCTTTGGCCTTTCTAAAGTCAATCACCAGGCTCTTCTTCCAAGGTGCACTCGGGTGTGTCTGAACTGCCATCCTTTTGTTTAGTAGCCAAGTGTGTGCCACCCAGGGAATCCTTCAAAGGAAGAAGTGGGAACATACATGGCTTACGTAAAATGAGAAATAAAGTCCTCCTTGACTTGTTTGCCCAAGTATTAGCACCACTCACTAACTCACTTACTGCCGCTGAGTCAGATCCGACTCAGCAGCCCTTCCTGGGGTTTCTGAGGTGGTATCACTACGGAAGTAGATTGCCCAACCTTCTTTCCAAGGACTGGCTGGTGGGTTTGAACCACCAGCCTTCTGGTTAGCAGTCAAATGCCTTAGGCACTATGTTACTGTGGATAAGGCATTTGGCTGCTAACCAGAAGGTCAGTGGCTCAAACCCACCACCTGCTCCACAGAAGGAAGATGGGGCGATCTACTTCTGTAAAGATTTACAGCCTTGGGAACCCAATGACGGTTGTCACTATTAGTCAGAGCTGACTCAATGTCAGTGAGAGAATATTAGCACAGACAAAGGCAAATTCAAGCTTACCATTCGTTCATTCATTCTAAGTTCACTGAGCACTCTCTGTATATGCAAGGATCTGTAGAAATCTGGTGAAATAATGCAACTATTGGGGCAATTAATATTGGTTCCATGGGGAATGGAAGCAGGCCAAGAGATCACTACCCATTAGTAAGGACACTTGATTGATTGCCATGATTCTAAGTTCTTAAGGATTGCAAAGGTGATTTGTAAATTTGATATGAGGAGGTTCTCTTTGTTCTTCCTGTGATGCTGTTTCTTAAGCAACTATAACTTGTTCACTGAGACAACTCCAATGTACTGTCAATCTTCTCTCTTTCCAAAATTAACTGGTTCCACAAAATGGTAAAATATTACCAACACATTTGCCTTCATGGATGTGTGCTATAGCAGGGAGAATAAATCTTGCTCCAGGGTTATAGGTATTCAGTAATGTCACTGGAATGAAGAAGTCCAGTCTAGGCTTCCTAGATTGATTTAAGGTTTGGTCTTGACTTCAGAGAGCCCTATAGCATCAGCTTTATGGATGGAGGTGTGTTTAGCTTAATAAT